GGAACCCAGTCTTCAAACTTCTCCTGAGTCCTGTTCCCCGCTTGGGGGCTAAAGAGTGCCCGTGGTGGAGTTGACTTCCTTGTCCCTCTGCAAGCTGCTTCAAACACAGCTTCCTCACTGCCTGCGTCCTCTGGCTTTTCTCCTGTTTTAGGAGGGACTGGGGAGATGGCTCAGTGGTTAAGAGGCCTTCACTGCTCTTGCACAGGGGCCTGGCTTGGTTCCTAGCACACACAACCTTCCCTGTAACTCTAGTTCCAGGGGGATCTGATGCCCTCTTCTGGCCTCTTCGGGCACTGAATGCATGTGGTCCTCATTCACTCAGGCAAACACTCATATACCTAAAATAAAAATAATAAATCTTTTTTTTTTTTTTAAGGAAGTTTTTTTTAGGAACTTTCAAGACCCACCTGCTTTCTTTATTGGTAAATCATTTCTTACCTTTATTGATAAATGCACATCTTATGTTAACTAACCTTTAAGGCAAGCGCCCCATTTAAATGACTCCTTTCAAAACTAAATGTGCCAGATCGGTCTCAGAGTTCACTCCATTTGCTTCCAGAGAGAATGTTTGAGAACAAATCTTTGATAGCTTGTCCTTTAAAAAGAACACACACACACACACACACACACACACACACACACACACACACACACTGGGCTGTTGTGAGGTTGCTGGCTGCTTAGAAACTGTACTTAGCATGCTGCCAAGAGCAACTCTGCTCCTGCAGAGGTGGGTGATTATGGGAAAGTAATTTTTAGAATGGCCACATTAAACAATAACGAGAAAAGACTCCCCGGTGAATTTTGCCACTTCGAGTGACCTTCCTTAATCTAAATTTCAGAGGTGTTAATGTACCAATCAGAACAGCTACCGTGATTTTAATTTGCATAATGCTGCTCTGAGCATAAGCTCTTTGGAGATAGCTGGAGTGTGAGGTCGGGAGTGTCACGGGGATTCGGCAGGCAGCCCTGGTGCCCTTGGATGCCCACTCTTGAAGACTCTGCCTTCATGTAGGGCTCTTATTTTTGAGCATGTGCAGTCTTGCAAACATACACCGTAGCTGAAAATTATTGCTGTTTATCGTCGTTATGTATGGCCCTCCTGTGGTCCTACCTACCAACCCCACCCAAGGGGTGTTCACTAAGTGGCTCAGGAAGGGTTGGAGGAGGCAATGCTCTCAGTAACCCAGAAGCCCGGTCACGGGGGTGGGGCTTTATCATTGATCTTTCTTTTCCTAACCCCTTTCCCTGACCCTTTAATCTGCCACTCTGCACCGGTGGGCGGTGGTGAGGAGGAAACAGTCCTGGACTGCACACTCACGCTGCCCCTCTCTGGAGGGAAACGCTCCCAGATGGTTGCTGTGGGAAACACAGAGCAGAGCTCCGTGAGGTAGGAGGGAGGGATGCTTGACGCTTCCTGTTCCTCAGAACAGGACAGCCGGGACAGGGGAGCTGGCTCTGGCAGCCATTGCCAGGCTCCCCCTTTCCCAGCATTCACCTCTGAGCTGCTCTTTCCTCTGCTCTCAGGACTGCTGCTGTCCATCCTCGTCGTTTACAGAACCGGCTTTCAGGTGTTCTCAAGTGGAAGCCATTCCGCACACTGAAGTGGCAGCATTCTTCTGCTTGGTCCCCGTCCTGGCCCTCCAGGTTTGTTTGAGGGTATCCGAGTACCCCAATTCTGGCCCCAATTCTGGAGAAGAAAATGGGTTTCCAAAGTTCCTCTTCCTTAATTAGGGTAGGAGCTTAAAGAGGAAGACAGTGTCCAGAGAGGCCAATTCCAAGCCTAGGCAGAACCTGCCGGGGAGCAGAACAAGGTGGGTACTTCACCCCGGCACTGCTTGGTACATACAGCCTTCCAGCGGCCACAGTCTTCTGACAGTCTATAACAATGAAGTGTTAAACACAGTATACACACACACACACACACACACACACACACACACACACACACACACACACGGCACAGGCATCCACCCAAGCATACACAGACACATTAAATAAACATTAAAAAAATTAAAACCGCACATGGTATTGAAATAACAACTCACACCCGCTAACGTGGGCATCTTTCAGAAGGGGATGGTGATGAATGTCGGTGCTGAGGAGGGAAGGAAGGAACTGGAATCCTCAGGCTTAGCTGGCAGGAGCATGAGATAGCACTGAGACTTTGGAAATTAGCTCGGCAACTGCTTCAGAGTATTAAGCATGAATGAATAATGTGACTTTGCAAGTCCATGGCTGAGAATCTGTCAAAAGTTTATTTCCACCCTGGGCAATCAGTCACTGTTGGGTCTTTCTGCCACATTCTAATATTAAAAGCAAGTTACCAGCCTGGCCTGGGGGGGGTGTTATTAAATAATAGCTGTTGTGTTTTGAAATCATCGTGCCCTAGGGTCTAACTGCTAATAGTCTTTGTATCCAAGTTGCCAAAGCCCCGAATGGAGGACTCTTGGGAGATTCAGAGGATGAGACCCATTCTGGGCTGACGGCTCCCCTTTCTCCAGCCTGGCAATGTGCGCCTCATCATCCTAACTCATCCTGAGACTAGGAGCCTGTACTTGTTACAGTTGCACAGGATTTTCACACATTTTTAAGATGGAGAGGGTTGTAGCTCATACAAGCAAAGAGTTGTTTGTCTTTTCTCTGCTTTTCCTATTGACATGATCAGAACTGGCCTCCCTCTCCTCTTTACTCTGTACTGAACAGGTTTTTTTTAAAATTGTTTGTATTACTGTTTTCTTGTTGTGCTGTTCTCTGTACGTTCTCAGAATCTCGGCACATTCTTCCTGGCAGGCCCCCCACCTTCAGGCATGGCTGTGATCGCCACCTTTGAACTTGTTCTTTGGGTTTCGTCTTGCTACAAAGAGGCAAGATGTGGCTGGAGACCCAGAAACGTTGAGTTCTCAGTGGCCTGGCTATCAACCCTTCCCACTAGGGGTTGATAACCTATGGAGGAACAATTGGGAACCTAGGAGCATTGCCGTAGACAGCTGCTCAGATGGGGACGAAGAAAACAGTCTTAACACTAGCCACACCCAGATGTGCCGCCGGGTGGCTTGGAGCCTGGAGGTGGGAGGGTGCTCTCCAGCATTTTCTTGCCTGCAGGCTGAGGCACACAGGAGCCATTCTCTCTCAGCCGCCCCTGCCCCCACCCCTCTGTAAAACCTGAGTTCATCAAGGAGCTTGCTTTGCGGGTCTCAAGTTTGCAGTGTCTTCATTATGGAGATTATCTGCAAATTACACTGAGCGGTTTGTTCTGTAGAGGACCCTGGCTCCTGTCTCAGCAAGAAAACTCCAGGACATTTACTCTGGGTGGTTGTCACGGCCCCTCTGGAGAGCAGCCTCCCCTTAATGAGCAGCAGAACAAAGATTCAGTTGCCAGGGGTTCTGTCCTGGATGGGTAATTTCAGGAGTTTTTTTTTTTTTTTTTTTTCCTGTGCCTCAATTTATTCTTTAAAACACAATAGGAGTATTGAATGAGTGCATAAATTACGTGTATGTTTAAATTATAGGGATGTGGAGATGATGGATTTGGTAGTCTGCCATGTGCTCCTACATCCAACAAAGCCTCGGTGCATGCGGTTGTGGTCAGTTTTCCCTCCCTGGGACCAGAACTTTTAGCCCCAGAGACTCTTCCTCATTGCAGAGCCCACAATGTCACCTTGAACAGCCTATTTTCAGTCTCTGCATCACCTCTTGACTTTGGAATGCGGGAACTGGAGACGCTGTTTGTTTTACACTCCCAGATCCTTGAACCGGAATTACAGCGTGTTCTCCTGTCTTCCCTGGGAAGGCAGGGCCCCACCCCTTCCTAGTGAGTCCCACCATGCAGGAGCCCGAGGGGTGAGCTGCTGTTTAAAATCCCTCCGGAGCCAGTGGGTGTCCAAGTCCCCTGCTGGGCGTCTGCTTTGCATCAAGCTGAGCCCAGGACCGCGTCTAGTTTGCCAGGACTGGACAGGGGTGGGGCCCTAGTAGACCTTGGGATTCATGGGGAAAATCAAAATAGTTTCTCAGCCTTCCGAGTCGTCGCCCAGCAGCTGACACCTGCATGCCTTTGAGAGACTGCAGAGCTGGTTGGGCGTTTCTATTCCTTCAGACAGAAGCCGGGTATAAACACTGCAGAGTTTATCCCAGAACTCCTCAGAACTGATGGAAAGCAGGGTATCTGCCACTTCCAAGTTGCTGTGGGGGTGAGTGTCCTGTGGGCCTGGGGAATAGGCATGTCCTTGGTCTCCCTCTGGTGAAAACAACTGGACAAAGCTGTGTCCCTAAGACTGAGGCAAAGCAGACTCCTCAAATGCTTACGCAGATAGGACTTGGCACAGCAAAGGCGTCAAGATGCTCCTATGTGAAAAGAGGGGGTCTGGGCAGCTGTGAGGCAAGAGGAATGGGAGAGGTCAGTGATATTCCGTTGTCAATCACAATTGTGACCTTGATTGGACTGAGAAACACCTGGTGGACTAGTGAAACACACTTCTGGGTGTGTTTCTGAGCTCTGGCTGTGTTCCCTGGGCGCTAGCCTAATGAACAATTTAATTCACTGATGGACTCGGTGACTGAATGGACTATTGAGGATTGGGGGAACTGCGGAAGGTGGGTCCTGGCTGAAGTCGGGGCGTGCCCTTTGAACTGAGGGCAATCCTGGCCTCTTCCTCCTGCTCAGCTTCCACTCCACCCTGAGGTGAATGACTCAGTCACCCCACCCCAGCCATGATGGACTGAAACTTTAGAGCCAAAAATAAAAATAAAAATCTCTCCTCCCCATAGGTTATTTCTGCCGGGTGCTTATAGGGATGATAAAACTAATACATTTGAAGGAGGGGTCCAGTGGGAGGAGGCTTCCAGGAAGTGCTCTTCTGATATCAAGGCAAAAACTCTATGGTCCTGGAGTGTTCTGGAAAAGTACAGCTTCCAGGCCTCCAGGAGTTCTGGGGTGTGGCAGGGTTGGGGGCATAGAAACCGACCCACCCACCCCAGATAGTGTGGGAGACAAGGTTATCTTGCTTTCCAGGTTGAGGCTCTTTGATGCTTTGCTGTAATTTCAGGTTCTTCTTCGTCCTGAAAATAGCTCCCAGTTACCTGCAGATGCCAGAAACTCAAGTTGCAGGAGACAAAGGCCCTGATTCCCTGCAAAGGGAAAAAGGCTTAATTATGCAAATATATAGCAGAGCAGCTCATTCATATTAAAATGTCGGCAGGTGGGATGATTGATACAGACTGGGATGGGGAAGGCATTCTAGATCAGAGGGACTGATAGCTGGTTGTCACTCCTGGGAAGAGGGGACCTCAGAAGAACAGCCTCCACAGATTGACCATGGGGTATGTTTGTGGGGCATTTTCTTGATTGCTAGTTGATGTAGAGAGAGGACCCAGCTCACTGTGGGAGGTCCTATCCCTAGGCAAAGGCCCTTGGCTGTCCTAGCAAGGCAGTGGGAGCCAGACAGTGAGCAGAGCCCCTCTGTGTTTTCTGCTTCCAGCTCCTGCCTTGAGTTCCTGCCTTGACTTCCCGGGATGATGGGCTGTAGCCTGTAAAATGGATTAAACCCTTTTCTCCTTACCTTGCTTTTGGTCACAGTGTTCATCACAAGAGAGAGCCACAGAAGACAGGGACACTCCAGAGAAACCTTATCCAGCTGTGCTGAAAATAGGGGACCCCCAAGAAGGGAAGGCGGGCAAGCCACGCCCACATGCACCACCCACTTCCCAGGGACTTTGTAGGGACTGGCGCCTCAGTCACGCCCACCCGCAGGAAACAATGTGGTGCTGTTTCCTGTGAGATAACCCAGATGTAGGGAAATGAGTCAATGCTGGCCCATTGTGTGATTATCTGTGTCAGGTGAGCCACACCACTCTGATAAACAGGTGAAACCCAGTCTTGTCCAAAGGTGAACTGGTGGCCAACCTCGTATTCTGAAGACTGGGTGTTCTTGGGCCTGAGATCCATGTGAGCTTCAGTTCCTTAGGGCCCCTTCCCTCTAACTGCTGGTAACCAATCATATCCTGAGGTCAGTGCTAAGACAGGGCAGGCTGTGAGTATTGAGAGAGGGAGGGAGGAATTAATTAGTTCAGTGTGGTGGCTCTGTTAGCAAATGTTAATTTTGTCCTACATGGTGTACCTTCTCTTCTCGGCATGTTGAGTTCTGTTACCATATCATTGTCTTCCCTGCTTAATCCAGTTGAGCTGGTCAGTTGCCTGGTGTAGACCATTGCTTGGGAAAGCCAATACACCTTAAGCCTTACTAAAGCAATGGGAGAAATAATTATCCCTTTGCTGAGATAATATACTCTTCCTTTCTAGGAAGTTGGCCTCAGTGGACTGCTTACAGAATTACTGTGTTTCTGTTACGTCTGAGCTTGTGTGAATACTAACTCAGAAAAATGTAATCTCTCTCTCTTCCTCTCTTCCTCCCTCCCTCTCTCAATACTGGGCAAAGTCTTGACATTTTGAATTCCTCACTCTTTCTCCAAGGCTCCCTTCTTTAGCCATGTAGCTGCTTGCTGATCATGAGCTCTCAAGCCTGCCTGCCTAGGTAAAAAGACACGGCTTTCTTCTCTGGGCTATGCTTGAGATTTACCGATTGACTGGGGTGTTTTTGTTAGGTAATTCTAATTAAATTGTTCTTGAGCTTCCTTCTGAACTCTTTCTTAAGCTCTTTTATTAATGAGACTAAGAACCCAAGAGGAGACCCCATTTTCCTGGTCACATGTATTATTGTTGTGCCCAGATCGTGACCCCCAGAGAGACCACCAAAGACGAGCATGCC